GGGTGGGTGGGTGGGTCCATGTTGGGGTGCTTACACGACGTCCGGCGCGTTGGTGATGCCCTTGTCCACATATCGTGCCTCAACCTTCTCCTTGAGCGACCCGTGCTGGTCCATGTAGCTCTTGTAGTCCATCGCATACTTGACCAGCTGCCCGTTCTCGATGGTCAATATCGTGTTGGACACCTGCCCCCCCCACACACACAGCACATGGGCTGGGTACTTCCCCCTCCCACACACACATGCACACATACATCGACACACGCACCTGTGAGACGAAGTATCTGTCATGCGACACGACCACAAGCGCCCCGGGGTAGTTCTGGATGGCCTCCTCGAGCATCTCCTTGGCGGGAATGTCCAGGTGGTTGGTCGGCTCGTCCAGGATCAGCAGGTTGCACGGACGCAGCAGCATCTTGCACAGAGCCAGCCGCGCCTTCTCGCCGCCGCTGAGCACAGCCACAGGCTTGTGCACATCCTCTCCTCGGAACATGAAACGCGCCAAGAGATCCCGGATATCCTGACACACAGGCGTCCATCCATCCGTCCATGGGTGTCTTGTGTGTTGGTTGTGCTGCGGTAGGGAGGTACCTGTGGCGAGAATCGTTTTTCCTGCCGTGTGGCGTATTCGTCGGCGTCATTGACCTCCATGATGGTCTGCAGGGCCGTCCTGTTGAGATCCAACGCATCAGCCTGATACACAAAGCACCGACACACACCCCCATTGAGAAACATCCCAGGCGTACGTGTGTGCACACAGAGGGACGAACCTGGTTTTGTTCGAAGTAGTTGACGATTGTGCTGGCCCCCTTGATCTCCGCCGTGCCCCTGACGGGCTTCTCCAAACCCAATATGAGACGCAGCAGGGTCGACTTGCCCACCTAACGAAGGAATGAAGGATGACACCCATCCAAACACATATATTGTTCCTCTCCATGTGTGTGTGGCTGATGTACTCACCCCGTTAGGTCCGAGTATGGCGATTCGTTCGTCGTGTCTGACCGAGAGGTCCACCTCGTCAAGAAGCTTCATCTGCAGGTTGCCCATGCTGTCGGGCGAGTAGCCGTGCGTCACATCCTCCAGATGGACCACTTCCTCGACAGTCTTGGGCGCGGGGGGAAACCTGAATCGGAATGGCGAGACCGTCTTTGGCGGCCGGGGAATGAGGTCGTCACTCTCGAGCAGCTTCTCCAAGGCACGCTCCTTCTGCTTGGCCTGCACAAACACATACACATACACACAGGGAGGTATGAACAGATGGAGAGGGAGAGAGGGAAAGGGAGGGAGGGAGGGGTGTGGATACTTACCACGTTTGCCATGGCAGGGTTGCCTCTGTACTGGGCGATGAGCGCCCTGTCGTCCTGAATCTGCTTCTGCTGCCGCTCGTACGCCTTATCCCACGCGTCAAGCCGCTGCGTCCGCAACTTCTGGAACAAACTGCACACATCACACCACACCACAGAGACAAACGCGGACGGATGGATGGATGGATGCACGGATGGCAACACACACCAAGACGCAGCAGCGCACCTGTAGTTGCCGTCATATGAGATGGTGTATCCCGCCTCGGTGTCGACGATCTTGGTGCAGACCCTGTTGAGGAACTCTCTGTCGTGCGATACGATGACCATGGGGATGCGGCTGTTGCGGAGGAACTTCTCGATCCACTCGACGGACTCGAGGTCAAGATGGTTGGTCGGCTCGTCCAGCAGCAAGACGTTGGGGTCCTATGGGAGATAGACAGGGCAGAAGGAAAGCGCGCATTGGAGGGAAACAGGCGCTTCGTCTCCCTCCCTCCCTCCCTCCCCACCCCCCCCTCTCTCCCTCTCCCTCTTTCTCACCTTGAGCAGCAGCTTCCCCAGTCCAATCCGCATCTTCCACCCGCCCGAGAAGCTCTTGACCAGCTGGTCCACATCGTCGTCGGCGAAGCCCATCATGCTGACCACCTTTGCCACCTTGGTGTCCACCTCGTACGCCTCGAGGGCCTCGGCCTGCTCCTGCAGCTTGGACAGCTGCTGCAAAAGGGGGTTCATCGCCGAGATGTCGCCCGACTGGCCCAGCTCCGAGACGCGGTGCTCCATCTGATGGATGGGTAGGTGGACGGACGGGGAAAAGCGCAGACAGTGTGTTGGCATCTCTGTGTGTGTTGTCCTCTCTGTCTCTCTCTCCCTCTCTCTGCGTGTGTGTTGGGGGGAAGGGGACGGGTACCCTACCTGTCGGATGTCGTTGAGTACTTGCAGCTCCTTGTCGAACACCGCCATGAGCTCCTCCTTGAGCGTCCGGCTGTCCACCAAATCCTCTATGAACTCCTGACGCAGAAACGCCACCCGAAGGTCGGAGGGCGACTTGACCACCTGACCACCACCACACACACCACAACACACACGTGTCACCCCATGTATCTCTCTCGCTCTGTCTCTCTCCTGTGTGCAGGGGAGGGAGGGAGGGGGGAGATCACCGACCTGTCCACCCATTGCTTCCAGCTCGCCAGCGATGATCTTGAGCTGAGTGGTCTTGCCGCCGCCGTTGGGGCCGACCAGGCCGACGCGGTCGCCCGTGCGGACCTCCCACGAGGCGTCCTTGAGGACCTCCTGGTTCCTGAACGAGATGCGGATCTTGTTGAGGCGGATCGAGACCTGGTCGGGCTGCTTCTGCAACAAACAAGGAAGGCACAGGCACACAGGTCTCTCTCTGTCTGTGTGCTTGGGGAGAATGCATGTGTGTACCGACCGAGTCTGAGAGGGGCTGCACACGGGCTGCGCCCACTGTGCGGCGAAACTGACGACAGACACACCAGGCAACGCACAAACAGGTGGATGCACTGGTAGGCCCCTCTCCTTGTGTGCGTTTCACCGCGTACCTTGCCCTTCTTCTCTCTGGCCTCTCCCTCCATCTCTCCCTCGTCATCCTCATCCTCGTCAAGGCCCACGTCGATCTTGCCAGCAGCGCCCTCATACCGCTCACGATCGCCCTCCTCGCCAACCTTCACACACACACACACAGAGATTGAGAAATGGTTGCCTCCATCCATTAATGTGTGTGTTGGTGTGCGCGTAAACCTGCTGGTCGGCGTAGGGGTATCCGTATGCAGGATACTGCTGCTGTGTCTGAGTCTGCTGGGGTTGTGTGGGCGTCATGTAGCCCGTGTACCCTGCGTATGCCGTGTAGCCGTATGGCGAGGGCGAGTAGCCGCTGTAGCCATACCCGTAGCCGTAGTAGCCGTAGGGCGAGGGCTGCTGCTGCTGCTGCATCTGGTCGGCTTGCTCATCGGCCTTTTTCTTGCCATCTTTTTTCCGTCCGGAGAAGAGCCGCTTTTTCCTTCTGCATCAACGCAGAGATGGACATGTGTGTGTGTGTGTGTGTGTGTTTGTTTTGCCGCGCCAGCTCACTTTGTTCCATTGCCATTTTCGTCTTCCTCTCCTGCGGCGTCGTCAGCCCCCTCCTGCTGCTGCCGCTGCTGTTCAGGTGTTGGTGGGTACCCATACTGTCCATAACCTCCATACTGCCCATAGCCACCATACTGGCCATAACCATAGGCGCCATAGCCATACGGGCTCCTGTAGGCGCCCCCCCCATACCCCCTTTGGTGGTACGCCGGCCCCATGCTCTTCGCGTACGCCTCGTCCCCCTCGTCCTCATCGTCGTCCAAACGGATCACCCTCCTCGGCCGACGGAAGGCGTACGGCTGCTGCTGCTCGATCGACTCATAGGAGGAGGAGGATGCGGGGGGGATGGGTGCTGGCGATGGGGGGTGGGGTGAGTCGTCTTCCTCCTCATCGTCCAGTCGGATGACCCGCCTGTTCCGCGGCGCCTGCGCCCAGCGTGGTGGTGGCGGTTGGGCCTGCCTGCTCGCCATTATCCCAACCACACACACGCGACACACATAGATGGATGGATCAACAAACGCACCTTTCTTGTGTGTGTGTCTGTGTGTGTGTGTTATAGCTACCCTGATGCGATAGGTGTGACTGGGTGGGGCCTGTTGAACGACCGGGGGCGTCTGCCGGCGTCAGAGAAGGGGGACAGGAGCGAGCTGCTGCTGCTGCCCTCAGCATCGGCGTCGTCGTCGTCATCGAGACTGATGAGCGGCCGCCGATACTGAGGCTGGGGGGGAGAGGGAGAGGGAGATGGCTGGGAGGCGGTTTCCCTCTTTTCTTCGTCTTGTTGGTGCTTCTCCGCCGCTTCCTTGTCCGTCTCCTCTTGTTCCTTGGCGAGCAGCTTGGCGGGGTCCAGCTCCTCCAGCCAACTTGGACGCTCCTGAGGTGGAGCCACTACCCCCACGCCACTCCCAACCGCAGCCTCACTCTCCTGATATTGCTGATCCACCACAGCGGCGGCCTCCTGCTGCTGCTGCTGCTGCTGCTCTTCTTCCCGCTGTCTTTCCAGCGCCTGAATAGCCTCTAGAGTGATGGGGGAAGAGGGTGCTGATGACACTGATGGCGCCACAGCAGGTGGCGGCTCGTCAGCCACAGCCACAGCCACAGCGGATGTAGCAACAGCCGATGTGGGCTCGAGGTCCACTTGGAGCTCCTTTCTCTTATTCCTCTGCCGGCCTTTATTCCTCCTGCCGTGTGACGATGACACTGGGGGATCATCTGCTTGTTGTGATGAAAGAGGGGCGGGGGTGGGTGCCTCTGTGGCAGGGGTAGGGGGGGATGCACCACCATCCGCTGACAATGCCGCTGACGATGCTGCTTCTGATGGGGCGGGGGAATCGGAGGGAGAGAGGGAGGAGGGAGAGGGGGACGGGGAGGGCGAAGCAGCGGACGGCTGCTCAGGTGGTGGAGAGCTGCCCATGATCTCTTCGGGCGGGATGAATGCACCCGCCCGTGCAGCACGGGCCGCCTTGCGGGCCTTGCGGCGGCTCTGTGCACACACACACACACACACACACACAGTGGTTGGCATACACAGGTCGCGGGCAGGCTGGCTGCTGTGTGTGTGCCACCAACCTTCTTGTCGTCCTCTTCTGCATCGAGGAGCGCAAACACATCTGCTTCCTCCACCTGGACCGTGCTAGGGGCAGCCTGACACACACAACACACAACACAACAACAAGATGACCAATCAGCCGTCCATGCCTCCCTCGATTGCATCATCTCACTGACTGACCTCGGTGGCCTCCTTGTTGTCGTCGAGCTCTTTCAGCTTGGCCATTGCCGCGGCAGCCACCTCAGACATGTCCTTGCGCTTCTTCTTAGCACACAGTGACACGGCAGACGAAGACACCCTCGGCGACGCCCTTGCATTGCCCGTCGGCAGCCACTCGTCCACCCCGACTCTTCTCGTCCGCCTGGCCTTCCTCGGCAGCAAAGCTGGCGTGATGAAGGTGCTTCTGCAGTCGTCGTGATAGGCCGCATACGAGGGGATGTATGCCGAGAGCGCCTCGTAGATGTTGGTCAGGGCCAGCAGGAGGGCCGACGAGAGATGCAGGTAGGTCGACGGCTGCATCTTGTTGTCGACTCGACGAGTGAGGCAGGTCACTTCGTGATCCTCATCTCCTCCTTTTTTCTGATCAGGATGCGCCTCTGCTGTTGATGGCCGCCCTGCTGAGTCACATTACAGAACAGCACCATCTTCGTCGACCTCTTGTCATTTGCGAGCTTGACCTCCAGTGATCGCAAGTGAGAAGGGGAGTCGCCCCGAGACTCCCATGAGCCATGACTGACGGCGCCACCGCTGCAGCACGAGAGAACGCATCTTCGCCATCCTCATCGTCGTCATCCCCCCCACACATAAGTCCCTACGATGTGCTCGGCGTGTCCCGCACTGCCACGTTCGCCGCCATCCGGCAGGCCTACCTCTCACAGGCGCGTCAGTGCCACCCCGACAAGCGGCCACTCGGTGGCCACGGCCGGTTCCAGCGGCTGCAGCAGGCCTTCGAGAAGCTGAGGGACAACAAGAGCCGGGCACAGTGGGATCTGACACAGGCTGGTAGGCAAAGAGAGCCAGATGTTGACGGGATCTGTCTGGCTTGATTGTTTTTTGTTTGCAGCTGGTGAGCACGCGAATGCGACTGAGGTGGCTTTTGCTGACCTGCTTGACGTGCGGCAATCGGTGCCGTCGGGTAAGAGCGATGGGAGGGCGTGTTATGCGTGGCTTTGTCGGTGTGGGGACGTTGTCGATATCGGCCTGGACGAACTGCTGCAGGTGGGTGCCATGCCACACACACCCGAGCGACCTGTGTGTCTGTCTGGACCTGTGTGGGACTTGTGTGTGTATTGTGTGTAGGGTTATGACGTGTTTTGCTGTCCGTCGTGCTCCCTTGCCTTCCGCGTGCGTGACAACCCCTTCTGGCGGCCAACAGAAGACACGGAGACCGCAGCATCAAATTCTGAATGAGTCTCTTGGCTGGCCGCGTTTGTCGTGTGGTGTCCTCTTGTGGATACGTGTGGCACCTCCTTTACGGTGGTGGTTGTCGATAGACTAAGTGACAGCGAAACGGGTGCATGAGTGTGCCGATCATGACATAGCTGGGCTGTTCTCGAGCCGTGACAGGTGACGTCTGATGGTCTCTCTGTCATTGCGAGAGGCCGTCACACGTCACCAGCCGCGGGACGAAAACACACCAGCGATGCCATGGGTACATGCGGACAGACAGGCCTATGCGCGTGGCGGAACAGCTAGGAAGAGAACTGCTGACAGCGAGTGAGTGAGTGATATCTGGTGCTTTTGGTGTGTCGTCGTAGTGGCTGTGCCGTGATGTGTCATTGGTGTCGTCCATGACTCTCTCGTCGGCTGCGTGTGAGTCGACGAGAGGGCGATGGCCGACACCGACATTGCATCAGAGCACACCGCCGCCCATTGCGAAAAGGACGAACAGCGAGAGAAAGAGCGAGGGAGAGAGAGAGGGCTGTTTTTGTCTTGTGTGCTGCCTCACGGGGCTGCGTGGTGGCTCTGTGGGTTCGTTCTCGGCGAAGTCAGCCAGTCTTTCAAATTGCACTCAATCATCTCTCTCCTGTCTGTATGTGTGTGTGTCTCCTGATCCCTCAACGCTCTCCATCCATCCATCAAAGACACACAGCCACGCACAAGACGTCACGGCACGACACATGCAGACAGACAGACAGAGGAAGGGACGAGACGCACGCACTTTCCACTGTTCGTACCACAGAGAGCAAAAAAGAAAAAACAGTCGGTCCATTGGTCACCGCCCCACAACCATATACTACTATAGGCCAGCAGGCCAGGTATCAGCGTCATGCACTATGCACTATGACGCACCCAACTCCCCCCTCTCTCTCTCCCCACCACCAAGGCGGGGCTGGGCTTCGAGGGGGGTGCGTCCGATGTTGGCCTGCTTGTCAAGCTGCAGACGGCCCGCCTAGGGTGGGCCTTCCCGCCCACCCCCAGCCACTGCCAATTGACTCGATCAACCATTCACACATACGGCCGCAACTAAATGTCGGTGTCACCGTATCGCCCGTCTTGGTTCTTGGGGTACCGGACGATGTCTTGTTCTCTTCTGAGCCGCTATCGCTGACGGTGAGTCGTCTGCAGCTGAAGGCCTTGCCGCTGATGATGTTTGCGGGGGTGCTGAGGGAAGGATAGAGGCGGTCAGTGCAGGAGAGGCTGACTCTCGCTGGCGGTGGCGCTATCGCTTTCTTCTCTGCCGTCCTCCGCCTCGCCCTCTTTCTTGGCGAGCACCTGGGTGACGCGGAGAGATCTCCGTCGTCGTCTCAGTCCCCCAGACTCGCCGTAAGCAGCGTCATGAACGGCGACTAGTGAAGTCCCACAGCTAGTATCGCACGACGAACGTGACGAAGAAGTTGAACACCAATGCGCCGACGACGGCGATGGTCTGCCACTCCGACTTGAGCGGGTCGGTGAGCAGGAAGATGATGGTGACGGACGAGATTAATGCGACGAGCGAAACAATCCTCGAAGCCACGCCCCAGAAGTACTGAGACCGACAAGACACAGTGGCCAGCTGTTTGTCCTTGGTATTACTCACTGTACCTCATTATCTGACAAGAACCAGGCCGTCTGAGCCTGGCGATGGCGTCGCTGTTCTTCTTGAACCAGTCAAGCACCTTGTCGAGCGTCTTGGTGAAGTCGTCGTCCTCGTCGGACTCAGTGGCGTCGGATTGCTCATCGTCGGACTCGACCTCCGTCTGCGCCTCGCCTTTCTCCTCAGCGACTTGAGGTCTGATGTGAACCCTGACCACACACAAAGGGCAGGCAGCGAAGGGAGAGTGCCTTCTTCACGTGCAGTATCGTCAGACGCTCACCTGACCACAGTTTCGTCGCGGATGAAAGTCAATGGCTCTTCCGAGGGCACCACGGCTCCCTTCACCGACAGACACAGGACATTCGGGGCAGCGAGGAAGTCGTACTTGTCCTGCAGGTACGATTTCAACTCCCTAAAGAGACCGACACAGGCAGGCGAACGGACAGAGAGAGAAACAGACGGAGAGACCGACAGACACATGGATGAATAGACACATGGCTCCCTCTTTGTTTCTTACCCCACGTTGGTCAGCTCGCTAGGGACCAGAATGAAAATCTTCCGATATTGGTACTCCTGGGTGGCGTCCAGCGGCACAGAGGCCTCGTTCATGAGAATGCGAAGCCGCATCCCCGCCATCGCAGAGAGATCACGCGATCCCTGACCCACGCAGAGGCCTCGTTCATGAGAATGCGAAGCCGCATCCCCGCCATCGCAGAGAGATCACGCGATCCCTGACCGCCTGGCCTGACCGGTCCGCCCTCCTTCTTGATGTGAACCCTGACCACACACAAAGGGCAGGCAGCGAAGGGAGAGTGCCTTCTTCACATGCAGTATCATCACATGCTCACTTGACCACATCTTCGTCGCGGAAGATAGCCAGTGGCTGTTTCGAGTCCACCACGGCTCCCTTCACCGACAGATACAGGACATTCGGGGCAGCGAGGAAATCGTACTTGTTCTGCAGGTGCGATTCCAACTCCCTGGAGAGTCAGCCATACAGAGAGACAGACAGAAGGACATGGCCGGCTGCGTGTGCACCGCTCCTCCCTCTTTGTTTCTTACCCGACGTTGGTCAGCTCACTGGGGACCAGAATGAAGGGCTCCCGATATCTGTGCTCCTGGCTGGCGTCCAGCGGCACAGAGGCCTCGTCCATGACAATCTTCAACCGCATCCCCGACATCTAGTTGCCCGACATCTCGCATACTATTTCCATCGCGAACTCCCCGTTTGCTCTTCCTTGGTTGGTTGGTTGGTCCTTGGCGCGGTGGATGCACTCCGGAAACCCTAACCCCCTGTAACCCCTGTGGTCTTCCCGAGCTGGGGTGTAGGGTTTATCGAACCCTAGTGGCGATGAACCCTAGTGGTGAGCTAACCGAGTCGTCATTGTCTTTGCGAGAGGTGTTTTGTGTTGTTGCTTCGATGATACGATCGATCTCGATGTCCCCACACAAAATGCTCGTCAGTCAGTCAGTCAGTCAAATGGCCCTCGTCTCTCTCTTTCTCTCTCTCTCTGCGTGTGTGTGGCGATCTCTCATCGCTCTCCATCCACCAAAGGCACTGGAAAAAAGTTGCACAGACCGCACAACACACTGACGCACACAGACAGCACCATCGGAAGTCTCTCTCTCTTTCTCCCTTCTCTCTGTTTCTCAGCCACACACAACACGTACCACAGTACACACAGGCAGGCAGCCACACAGACAGTCACACAAGTCAGACAGGAGGGGACGAGACGCTCATGCTGGAGTCAGGTGTCCCCTCGGTGTGTGTGTGTGTGGGTGGCGAAAGGAAAATTCCTCGTCTCTGACTCTCTGACGAGGGGCGTGGCGTGCTGATGCACACAGACAGACAGGAGCACTGAAAAACAGACCGGCCACGGAGACAGACACATACAGACACACACACACATGGAGGAGAAAAATCAGCACAGCACGGCAAAAGACGCACAGGGGATTGTGTGTGTGTGTGTGTGTGTGACCAGAGCGCGATAGATAGACTGACAGACGGGCATTAACTGCATGTGTGTGTGCGAGTGTCCTTCGTATGTCGCTGCGCTCGTCCATCCAGGCGCCGCGACAGATTAGACCACTGAGCGGGCGGGCAAGCTGCTCAGGTCTAATCGGCCGCCGAGACCGGACGGGTGCAGTCGCGACACACATGAAGTGCACACAACGAAACGCATCAATGGATGTGTCATGTGGCCTGCCTGGACGGATATCGTCTGTCTGTTGTGTATGGTGTGGCGCACCGATTGACTGCACCTGGCCGCAACGAAGTCCCTGTCACCATTGGAGCAGTGACATGAACAGCGTCGCGTCCGGTGCTGCCAATCAGTGACGCCACAGCCGCCGAACGACCCAGCCGCATACACATAGATCGATCAACACAAGACACTCGTCCACAATCATCCCTTCCTTCAAATGACCACCGATGGTGCATCTGTCTGTCTGTGTACATGTCAATGTCATGGGGGCCCATTCCATTCATCATTCGATGACTGACGGACGGCCGGTGCGAGCTCAGCTGCCTCAGCGGGCTGCCGGCAGAAAAATAGACATCGATCATGCACACAACACAACACACACAACCACCACAACACACACACGAGTGCAGTGCGTTGCGTGCATGAACGGGGTGGGCGGAACGGGCTGCGGGTGAAAAAGATGAAGCAATGGCTGCCTGCCTGCCTGAGCGCCCCATGCAAGAAACGCTCTCTGTCTCTCTGTTGGGATCCGCCCAGTGAGTGGCTCTCATTGAGTGTCTGAGTGCCGGTCACTGGCTGTACAATAGGAACGAACGAACGAGGCACCACACGCACAAGACGCCACGCCACACACACGGAGACCAACATGGATTTGGTGGTGATTGATAGAAAGAAATGCTCACACCCCGCCCACCCGTCCACCGATGGATGGACACACGGACGCACAGACATGCAGGCACGCTCCTCGGCGCTCTCTCTCTCTCTCTGCTGCACAGGCGTAGCCATCAACCAGCCAGTGCGATCATCCCTCACACACACACACACACACAGACATAGACATAGACATAGACAGACAGGCATACACAAATAGGTACACACACACATACAGACAGACAGACTCCAGACAGTGAGACAGACAGACACAGAGTGAGCCGAGCCGGGGGGTTGTCTAAACCACGCCGCATCCATCCAGCCATGAGTGAAAGACTTTCTTTCCACTGCTCTCTCGCACACACACCCACAGAGGCATATTTTCAGATAGGTAGACAGCAGGTGAGCTACAGCAGGGGACGGAGAGAGGGAATGGCCCCCATCGTTCTATGATACACCACATCACTTCTGCCATGTGTGCGTACACCCACGGCCAGCTTCCACCCATCCAGCGACCCATAGATCCATCCGTCCGTCTATCAGGACGGTGAAAAAACATCTCCCCACTCTCCCCCTCCAGGGGCCCTCCCTGTATGTGTGTGTAGGTGTGTATGGGTCAGCCAGGCATCGATCAGTCAGCCATCGCGGAGGGCACACGTGAACCACGGGTGTCTGAGGGCCTCCGCGGCCGAGATGCGCTCCAGGGGGGACGGGTTTGTCAGCTTCTGAATCAGATCCTTCAACTCCAACGACACGCTGCCCCACCTAATTAATAATCACACACACACACACACCTCTCCGTCTGTGTGTGTGTGTGTCTTGAAAGCATACCGTGGGTGTCCGAACTCTATGTTGCCCGATCTGTTGTTGCGGAGGGTGGTGCGGATGTCGCTGGCCAAAAAGGGGTGGTACCCCCCCACCAACACAAAACACAGCACCCCAGCGCCGAAACAGTCCACACGCGAGTTGTACGAGTGCCCGTGCAGCACCTCGGGAGCGATCCACCTGCATCGCATTCCATCACACACACACATGACCACAAACAACCAATCACACACGCAATCCCCCTTCTGAACATACGCACCCAGGAGTGCCGGAGATGAAGCCGCCGGGGCTGGGCTCGATGGCCGCCGGACACACAGTGCGATGCCGCTTATCGCTCCGCCCCCTCTCCATCCCGCGCATCGTTGGCGACGGCGAAGGGCTGCCTCGCGGCGACGCTCTCGGCGACGGTGAGGGGGATGCCTTTGGCGGTGTCATGATGACCGCACAGCCGAAGTCGATGAGCTTGACGGTGTCGGGCCGTGAGGGGTGTGCGAGGACGAGATTCTCGGCCTTGACGTCCCTGTGGATGACGTTGTGTCGGTGGATGAAGGCGAGCGACCGGAGGAGGCCCTCCACGATCACCCGGGCGGTCGACTCGGGGACGGCCCCGCTGGTCTCGACCAGCGACAGCACGTCGCCCCCACTCATGTGCTCCAACACCAACCAGGTCTGCGATCCCTCACGACGCAGATCTGCATATGAACCACACTCACACTCTTCACCCTCTCTGACGGACGGATGGGGTGCATGTGTGCGGCTCACTGACCTCTATCGGTGGCTCCATCAAGCAGGCGGACTACGTGCGGCGGGCTGGGGTGCTGCGTGTGCAGGTACCGGAGCACTCGCAGCTCGTTGCGGAGGGCCTTAACTTCTGCCGGCAGGCTGGCGCCCTGAGTGGCCGAGAGGGAGAGTGAGGGGCCAGTGGGGGTGAGGAGGGGGCTGGCGGACATCCGGCGGCCGGCCCGGGGGGTGGCGGCGGGGTCAGACACCTCACGCTTGATCATCACACACCGGCCAGTCGCCTTATGCACGCCACGCACAACCTACACACACACAGACAGACAGACAGACAGAGATTAGCGCCCAGCTGCATCAATCAGGGAGGGAGGAGTGTTGCCCTGTCCATTCACCTCACTCACCTGAACATTTTGCATGGCGGCTGGCTGGCTGTCGGGCAGGTATCCGTCCTCGAGCCGGCGCGACAGCTCCCGCAGGTGCTGCGTGTGCAGCGTCGGCACCACAGGCGTGCTGATCAGCCGCGACACCGGAGGCGTCACCAAACTGCACAAAGACACACACCAAAAGACACAACACACATTTCCCGCCCTTTCTTTTGAGTGTCGTCTGTGTCTTCCCCCCGCCCACTGACCTAACGGACAGCTCCGAAGTGCGGTGCTTGATGGCCGTGGGAGTGGGCATCACGGCGAAGTCCACAGTGTCGGCCTTGATGTCCGTCCAGGTCGGCGTGGCGCTCTTCGAGTGGCCGCCGCCGACAAAGGGCACGCCCACACCCACACCCACGCCCACGCCGAGAGGCAGCGGCGAGGCATCACCGATAGGGCCGTACTCGATGTGCATCGTGCAGCTATATCGTCACTCACTCAGCTCAGACAGAGTGGTTACCCAAAACACTCGGACAAGGCGAAGAAAGGAAGAAAGACCAGCAACAGGATGGTCAGAGCAGATCAGCGAGAGAGAGGGGCGGCACGCGGGCGGGGAGGGTGGGAAAGGGATGGCAGGGCAGAGGGCGGACAGGTCGCCAAGTGTGGCGTGACCTTAGTCACATGTCCCAGTGGAGTCTCAACGCGTCGCTAGCACCCAGGGCCTTCACGTCATCGCCTCCCCACGACAGAGGAAAACAAGGAAGCCACAGCTCGCACGAAAGCTAAGCTCGCAAACACGCCGCAAACCCCGAGCACGTGAGGCCATCCGTGCTTGACACAAGAGAGAGATCCCATCATCGTGTTTTGCGGCAAGAATGAATCAATGAATCAATGATGTCCACATCGCCAGCGTCAGCCTCACCAAAGGCAGCAGGCAAGCAGAAGGCCGCACCGTCGAGCAGCAAAGGCAGGGACGGCAGCAGGCCCAGCTCGGCTTCTGTTGCCGCCGATCCTGCCCGCCCACAGCCACCGTCGTCACTGTGGAAGGGCCTGGAGGAGAAGGTGCTGTCATTCGCTGTGGAGTGCTGCGACAACGACAATGTGCAGTTCTACGCCACCTACGGGGCAGTCGTCGGCAGATACACGTCGGCACCGATCTGCCTGCCAGTGGAGTCTGAGGCACTGCTTGAGCAAGGGGTGGGTCAGAGCGATGGATGCACGAGGCTGCACCTCGCACACCGCCCATCCATCCATTTGTCTCTGCGTGTGTGCGATGCGGTTGTTGGTGTGCAGGCGGCTGATTATGAGTTCCAGGAGCAGCTGAGCGAGCGTCAGTTCCGCCAGCTGCTGGACAAGGTGAAAGAGGTTACCGGCAAGGGCAATGGCGCGGGGGACCAAGAAATGACAGACGCGTCGGAGCCATCAGCATCATCCCTGCGGACATGGGAGGCCACCTACTCCCACTTCACCTTCACCGAGAAGCGGCTCGAAGGCGACGTTGTGGTCGTCCTCGATGCGGCACAACAAGTGGTCAGCCACACACGCACACACACAAACACACACACACACACACACACACACAAGAGAGAGATATATATAGAGGGATGCACCCACAAGACGCCACGGTCATCTGTGGATGTCACTCCGTGAGTGCAGAAGGGCATGACGCGGACCCAGCGGCTGGGGGAGCTGACTTTCTACCGCCCCAACAGCGACCTGCACTACCAGGTGGCGGCCGTCACGCGGCGTGGGTGGCAGCGGCCGGCTGAGATGCGGACGGACCCCCCCACGTTGGGTGTGTATGGGCGAGAGGTCCACCAGTGGCGGTTTAAGGGCAAGACGGGAGGGGCCGCACCGCCCTGGCAGCTCATGATGATCAGAATACAAGTACAACAGAGAGACAGAGAAAGAGAGCACACCAATGGTACTCTCTCTCTCTCTCTCTGTGTGTGTGTGTGTGTTTGTGTGTGTGTGTGTGTGTGTGTGTGTGCAGCAACAAGATGAGGGCGAAGACGATGAGATGGACGGGGGCGCCTTGTCGTCATCATCATCTGCAGCGGCGAAGGAGGGCGGTGTGCGTCACCAGGTGCGGCTGGTGGCCGACTTCGGGCAGCTCAAGAAGCAGTACATGCGGCTCATCGAGGGCAAACCAAACGGACTCGCACACATAGTCAGAGGTACCCATACGCCACACAGGCTACACTGATGCATCCGTGTGCTGGCTGTGGCGTTGGTTGTCAGATCTCCTCCGAAACATGCGGGCCTTCGCGGAGCACATTGACGAGGCCCTCGCAGAAGACAGTGAGCATCCTCTCACACCCTGACAGACAGACAGACAGACAGACCCACTCAGACACACACACGCTTCCTGTGTGGTGTGGTGTCAGGGACGTATCTGTACCCGAATTACTTCGGCGACGTGGCCGCCGCAGCCCGTCGTCACTACGACCAGAAGAAGATAGATCAAGGCGCCCGGGGGGCTGAGCTGGAGGCACTCAGACGGTAGGAGGGTGGCTGCGGTGCGGTGCTGGCCATGGTGCGTGTTGATGAGAGTGGTCTGTTGTCTGTCTGTGTTAGGTACAACAACGAGGTGAAGCGGACGATGATCGACATGCACGTGTCGCAATACAACAACGCGACAGTCCTCGATCTCGCCTGCGGACACGGTGGGTGCGTGGGAGGGCGGAGGGAGATAGCTGTGTGTCACGTGTGCCATCCATCGGTGCGGGGTGTGTGTCGTGCCATTCCTTGGTCACACACACAGGTCAGGATCTGCTCAAGTACGTGGACCTGAACATCCGCAAGTACATCGGCATCGACATCTCGTCCAAGGAAATCGGTACCCCACACACAGCAACCGTCCATCTATGTGTGTGTATATGTGTGTGTGTGTGTGTGGATCAGATGAGGCCCGGCGTCGGTATAAGGAGGGCGCCGGGAACCGCTTCAGATATGAGGCCAAGTTCTACGTTGGTACGAGTGTCTGGATGCATCCGCACACACACTAGACAGGGAGAGGGAAGACACTTACCTAAACACACGGGGGCCATATGTGTGGTGTTTGTTTGCAGGGAGTCTGCTGGATGAGAAGTGCTACGAGCCTCTCAAGGGTAGTGAACAAAGAGGCGACACACACATACACACACACATACGCCATGGCCATCTGTGTGTGTGTCCCTCCCCTGCAGGTGAGCAGTTCGACGTGGTGAGCATCCAGCTGGCCATCCACTACCTCATGTACAACCAACAGGCCGCCACTGACTTCCTAAGAAAGGCACGCACGCACCCTCACAAACACTCACCCCAACACACAATCGTATACGTATGAATCCATGGATCTCTGTGTGTGTGCAGGTGTCGCGTCACCTGAAGCCCGGCGGAGTGTTCATCGGCTCCACATCCTCGTGCGACATGATCGCCAGAAACCTCAAGAGAATCACACGCAGATTCGAAGCGCCAACCGTCCGCACCTCCCACACCCATACACACACTCACACCCACAAGTACAGATCCCCAGCTCTCTCTCTCTCTCTCTTTCGCTGACTGTGTGCAGAAGGGCAGCACCAGCGGCCGCATCTCGTATGAGTTCGGCAACTCGGTGTATCGCGTGAGCTTCGACCAGGACGCCTTCAGAGCCATCCGGGGCGACGGGGGCCGGGTGGATGGGGGCCAGGAGGGGCCCGTGGTGCTGGACCAGCCGCAGGAGGTCTACCAGCGACGGCTCAACACCACCTGGTCAGCACAGCACACACGCTCCCACACCTACACCCACACACCCACAGCACTCATTCCCCTCTCTCTCTGTGTGGTGTGTGCAGGGGTCTGCAGTATTTGTTTCAGTTGAAGGGGCTGATAGACGAGCGTGAGTACAACGTGCCGTGGTTCGAGTTCTGCCGGGTGGCGCGGGAGCTGCACCTGGTGCCCCTCACACACATGGAGTTCCCGCAGTTCATCACTTACGCCACACGGGAACAACACATGCCCAGACTCATGTAGACAATGACAGACACAAAAAGGGAGAGAGAGGGAGGGATGGGTGTGTGTGGTATGTGTTGGGTGTGTGTGGTGCAGTCATTGGCTGCAGCACAACCGTCATTTGGTGATGCCGCCCGACCAGCAGGAGGCATTCAGCTTCTACAAGATATTCGTCTTCAAGAAAGTCATACCGGTGCGACACACAAACGATCCCCCCTCTCTCTCTCTCTCTCTCTCCCTCTCCTGATACACACACATGTCTGTCTGTCTGTCTGTCTGTCTGTCCTTCTGTGTGTCTGCAGGCGCCTCCCCTGTTCCCTCCCGACCTTCCTCCTCCTGTGCCCGGCCCTGCTGCTGCTGCTGCTGCTGCTGGTGGAGGCGCTGGTGGTGGTGCTGGTCAGCCCCGCTTGGCGAGTGGCGTGTCGATCAAGAAGGGACACAAGAAGCGGAAAGCCAACGCCATCTAGACACCTCGACCGATGGATGGATGGATGGAGGCGGCAGTGGACATCTGGACAGCAAGCTGTTGTGTGTAGTGAGTGAGTGGTCCGCTGTGATGTGGTGACGTATGTGGTGTGTACAGTATGACATTCAGACTACGGCAGACCATCAGCGTGTTGCATGCACCTTAAGTCAGCGAGCATTGAGAGCAAGGTAAGATTTGTCCAGAAGCACGGTACCAATCGAAGCTACCCAATGGCAGCGTGGAGTGCCCTCATGCAAGTCAGCAGCACAAAACACCACCTGCGTCTGGCGCTGCATCATTCATCAACACGTGTTCCTGTCGCGGCCTGCAGGGCCATCAGTCGAGGCAGCTGCATTCACAAGAACTACTACGCCGTCAAGCTGCTGGAGCACGAGAAGGCCCGCCAGGCCAACACCACACCCGAGCAGACACAGACGGAGGGCAGGAATGCCCCAATCCGACAGGTCGCCAACTCGACCACGAGTGACATACCATCTGCCCGCATTCATTGTCTGTGCGTGTCTGCGTGTATGTGTGTGTCTCAGGTATCTGATTACGAGGGTTCGGTGCTGAGCGTTGAGGAGCGTAGAGGCCTCCTGGGCCTCCTCGGCGGCCGCAACAAACGACTGCAATCACTCTACCGGTGGGGCAGACATGCGGCTGCACACTTCCATTGTGTGCCATGAGTCGGTCCTATGTATGTGTGTGTCATTCCGTTCAGTGCCAATCGGGATGGGTCGAGCTACGCCAGCCTGCTCGGCAGAGTGGGCAATTCGACCCGCTTGGTCTTCGTTGCCAAGAAGGACCAGCACATCTTCGGCGTCTTCATGAACGACCGCATGAAGGTATGTGTGTGTGGTTGTTCATCCACTTCGCCGAATGCTTTCGATTGATGCCTTCTTATTCCTTCATGCAAGCGCCTTGTTTCAGCTCGTGTGGTATGTGGATGTTCTCCCTGGCGGGCCACTTCAGCCGACCGACCAAGATCCGCCTGCCCCGAGACCGACAGACGGTGGCGACGGTCAGCCCCACCACCATCTCAATGGGCCCGTGGGGGTGTATGGTGTGGGGCGGGTACCCGGGCTACCTCTGCCTGGGTTCGCAGCGCGCCTTAGGCTTGGACTTCATCGTGCCGGCGACCATCCGCCGCTGCACGCAGTGGCTGCCCATGTCACTGGTGCCTGAGGGGTACATGGGAGTGCGGGAGGGCACCTACGCCACTTTTGGCGGCAGCAGCAGCTTCATGGCTGATGAGCTTGAAGTGCTGCAGGTCGTCTGATCAGACAAACAGACCGACAGAGAGAGAGACCGACAGACGAGTGTGTGTGTGTGCGTCGATCGACGTTGATCGCATACACACATGATACATTGACAATTTTGATCATTCGGATCAAGTCCTTAGTCCATTACGTGTCTCTCTCTCTCCTCTATGCCACAACGCCTCAACGCCTTACCCGCACAGACATCCACACCTCGCCACACCTAGCACACGTCACGACCTGACCCTGAGGCTGTTAAGCAGCTGCTGCAGCACGTGGTTCTCCTCACACAGATGCACATTCAGAGACCTGAAATGCTTCACGTCCTCACACAACGCTGCACACAGGCGCAATACAGACACCTAGATTCCACATCTTGGATGCGAGCATCTGAAAAGCTCTCTCTCTCACCTTGGTAGACGAGCCTCAAATTGTCTGCAGCAGAGACAGGGCCGACAGGGCAAGTGTGTGTACCCTGTGTGAGCTCTCTTTTCTTCTCTGCTTACGCGTGGCGGCGAACGATGCCCGATCGTGGGTGTCGGTCTGCGACCTACGAGCAGCCACCATCCACCGATCCGCTCTCTCAACAGCAGCAGTCCGCCCATCCACACCCACAGCCACACCCACACGGCCAATTGGACGTGTCTCTTCCCTCCCCTCCGCCCGCTGCTGCTGCTGCTGCTGCTGTTGGGGCTCGCGGCCCCCTTGCCAGTTACCCTCAGTCTGTCCCTGTTGTCGCTGCCCCTCTTCGTCGCCCATCTCCCGCTGTCTCCCACGTCCGTCATTATAAAGTCGCCCCACTGTGTGCCCTGCCTGGCCGTCAGCTGCGGCAGTGAAGGCCGCTGCAGCTGTCTTGTCGTTTCTCGATGCGAACTGAGGTGTCGTTATCGACTCCATCGACCCCCGTGGCTGCTCGTTTGCCCCCCTCTCCCCTGGTCTGTCTTGCTGGCGCATCAGGGCCTTGCTCTTCTCCCGCAGAAAGGCGATGTCCATCGTCAGCTGGTCGGACAGATGTGTTTCTTTTGTGGGCGAATCGTCGGCGCCGCGTGCGAAGACGCCGCTGCCGAGTGGTGCAATCCCTTCTTCTTTGTCTTGTTTGAACTGCGCGCGCCCCTGTGCTGTGAATGAGGGGAGACGGGCAAGGCCACCTTGGCCCTGCGGGGATGACGGCGACCGTTCGGGAGATTGCTGGGGCTGCGGCTGCGGCTGTGTCTCCTCCGTGGTCATGAGGTTTGCGTGACGTCTGAATGCGACGATGGCGTCGAGTTTGGCGATCTGCGACTTGACGATGGCCTTGCGGGGGTCGAACGGGGATGCGTCGAAGGATGAGAGCCTGCATGATGAGGGAGGGAGACACAATGCAGCTGACTTGCTGTGTGTGTCAGGTGTCTCGCTCACATGGCTTCAAATCTCGCCTTGAGCACATCAGGCACTGCAATACACATCGCATAAGATGTCTCTTCTCTCTCTCCCTTCCTCCCCCCTCTCTCACCGTCCACCTGCACAAGGATTCTCCTCAGCAGCGACGATGTGGCCCACTCCATCCGCCCGAACAGCAGGCTCAGCTTCCCCCTGTCGGCCGCAGGGAACATCTCAGCGTGGCTGGCCGCATCCACATAGCCGACGAGGGAGCGACCCTCGTCCATCCGCCTGGCGATGGCATTGGTGTCGTGTAATGACTCATCGGGCAGACCCATGGCACGCACCATCGATGGGAACTGCAGAAAGGGGGCCATGCAGTCTAATGTGTATCATGCTCTGTTTCGTGTGTGACGTACGTCCATGTGGAGCCATGTGGCGGCGATGTGTGTGATGTCCATGTGAGAGCCGAAGAACGACACCACAATGTCTGTATTGCACGGGGGGAGAGAGAGAGGGAAGAGGGAAGTGGAGCATGTGTCTGTGTGTGAAGCCGGGCTGACACAGTACGTGTGTTGATGATCTCCGCGGCATTGTCGAGCGTCCGCCTCTCCTCTGTCGGCCCCCGTGTTTCGTCCACATCATACACCGACAGCTCAAGCGCATCCAGACAGATGGCCGTCTGACAAACACAGACACACACACAGAAGAAGCATCCGTCCATTGCCAAGGGCCCTCAGCCTCCCCCTCTCCCCCACCAGTTGCTCTTGAGCGTTTTCCAGGTCAGCATTGGTTGTGGGCCGGTTGTCGGCGGTGCTGAGGCGGCTGGTGATGGTCGTCAGGACGGCAGCCACGCACTCTTGGCTCTGCTCAGTCAGGGGCGCCATTGGTAGCGAAAGAGAGGAGTAAGAGGCGATCGTCGCGATTTGCGCGCTCAACAGGAAGGCGAAGGAACAAACTCATGAAATGTCAGCTATGGTGGCAGCTGGCACTCACACTCGGTGCGACCGGTGCAGATCTGGACACTCGAGGCTCATTCCTGAAGCCATGGCAGCCCAATCGTCACCGCGTCGCATCAACACCCGAACGCAGACAGGTGAGTGACGGACGGCAGTGCCCACACGCACGCACATACAGCTCTCTCTCTCTCTGACTCACCGCACAGCCCATGGATGAATGCGTTATCTGTTAACGATGCAGATCACACCCCTTCCCTCGGCAGCAGCGGACAGGCAGCTGCCTGCAGTGGAGCAGCCACCCGCACCCGTCACAGCCGCACCCATCCCCACCTACACCCGCCCTCTCGGCAGCTGGGAGCGACTCCTCACCAAGACCCAGCGCAACGAGAGAGATGCCCCCCTCTCAATCGCCCATTTCTCGGTCGCCGAACTCACGGGGACATCGTCGCTCACACGTGATGACGTCCGTCGTGCGTTGGAGGGAGTCGTGTTGCGGCATCCGTTGCTACGCGTGCAGATAGGGGACCTGCCTGTGGGGGATGAGTGCTGCCCGAGGCCGCAGAGTGTCGAGTGGCCGTGGTTTTATCCGCTGGATGCCTCTGCTGATGAGCTGGTGGACAGGGCGGTGGTGTGGGTGGATGTCGAGGCGAGAAATAGTGCCGAGCTGAGGAATGAGTGGCGGACGCTTGTCGAGGGAACGATCGACGGTAAGAGAGACCGGGGAGGGAAACGAATGCGAGGGAACATGGCCGTGTCTTTCTGTATGGGTGCAGGTGTGACGTTTCCCCGTGACGCCCCATTGTGGCTGCTGCATGTTGTCCACAGCCCCTCTGCCGGCCGGTCAGCTCTCGTGTGGCTGTTCAACCACGCCATCTCCGACCAGATCTCGGCTCACATCGTCCTGGAGGACCTCCTTGACGACATTCAGCCACACTCATCGAAACACCACGCGGACAATCCGGCCCCTCTCTCCGTCTCCTTCCCCCCGAGTGTGGAGGCATTGCTCTTCGGCAACACGTCCATCGAGGAGCCGTTTGTCGACTATGTGAGGCGGGTGTTCTCCTGGCAGACCGTCAAGCACCTCGTGAGGGCTACGGCCACCATCGTGTGTCCCGTGATGCTGGTGCTCGACCGACGGAGGGGCGAGGGATTGACGCCGTCGCAGCGGCACACTCAGCTCTGTTTGAGGACGCTCGGCCGACCACTGATGGAGAAGTTGAAGCACAGGAGCCGGCGGGAGGGCACCACGGTGACGGCAGCACTCATCGCAGCCGCCCTTATGGCGTGTCAAGACGTCTCAGGAATGAGCAACCCTTTGGTACGGTTCCTTTTGTCAACCGACCTGCGTCGGTTCGCCGTGAATTCGCCGCTGCCCCGCCCCTGCACACTCTCATCTCTCGGCGGCTCTGTGGAATTCAACCTGCGAGTCCCGCCGGCACTGGCTGGGTCACATGAGGCCTTCTGGCGGTTTGCCAAAGGCTGCCGGGAGGAGTTCCGGTCGGTGATTGATGTGAGTGGGCGTGAGGGGCCGCTGCTGTTCGACGTGGGCATGCGGGTGGCGGAGATTGAGGACGTTGTCGAAAAGGCCGCTGCATCGGAGCAGACCCATGGTGAGTTAGCGGGTGGCAGTCGACATTCGATGATCAATCTGGGACTCAATGCGTGTGTGTGTTCGTATGCCTTTAGGTCGTGCCTACACGTGTGGTCTGTCCAACGCGGGAGTGTGGCCGGGGAGGACGCAGTACGGCCCCATTAGTCTGGATGGCGTGTATTACGGCGTGACCAACAGCCAGAACGGCTGTTTGTTTCAGCTCTCGTGCGTGACGGTGGGCGGCCGGCTGTGCGTGTGCCTCCAGACGAGCGCGCCCCTGATTGAGAGGGGCGAGGCGGAGAGGTTCCTGGATGTCATGGATAGAGAATTGTGCAGAGCTGTCGATACTGTATGAGTAGCGATGTGACCCTTGTGCGCGAAAAAGGGGAGAGAAAGCGAGCTTCTCCGAGACTGGGGGGCGAGGGGGCTAACTTGACCGAGTGCAGGGTAGGATAGAGGCTGCCGGTGTTTATTCATCCTATCGAGAAGGAATTGGACCCTGGACCTCCTTGGCGAGAAATCGCGCGAGACGAGACGTTTAATTTTTTCTTTTCGCCTGCAGGCATCAGATGGAGAAAATCAGGCATTCCGCCGCATTCTTGGCGCATTCGTTCCTCCCTCCTCCCTCTCTCATCATATTTCGTCCCTCCTTCCCTCCCGCCATCGTAGAGCATCCCTCCTGGCGCCTGCGCCTCCTCCTGCATTTTTCGGACGCCTTCCGCCACCTACCCACGACCCGCTGCTGTGGTGAGCGAGTGCGTGACGGACGCGGGACGCGTCCTGATGTCAGCTGGCTGTGCGCCTGTCCTCCAGGCATCATGAGCTCACTGGCGTCGGCCGCCAAGGAGCCGCCATGGCGGCGACTTCGCGCAGAGTCATGGCTGGTAAGAAAAAACGCCAAACGAACATTCTGCGACATGTCTCTGCATATCTGCTGTCGTCAGGCAGCTCGCCAAGAGTGCTTGGTGTCTCGGCGACGCTCTCTCGTGGACGAGACTTTTGGAATCTTTCTGGCGAGAATTCGTGTGCGAAGAGACGGTCAGTCTTTCTTTCTTTCCGCTGTCGGATTTCATCATTCCCGCTTCTGCGTGGCTTCCCTCCTCCTTCCTGCAGACCCAGTCGCTAGGCGCATATTCTCCTCCTCATCTGCCTCCCTCCCGTCCGCCTGCTCGTCATCCGAAGACCATCCATTGAGGTAAACGGACCACTAAAGGACGCATTGTTTGACGCTTGCAGGAAGGCGTAAGGCCTCGGGCGCGGGTACGGCGCTTGAGCGAGCGGAGCGGACTACGCGCAGGTATCACAGGAAGTGGATGGGAAGCTGAATGACGCGTCCTGATCTCCTCTTAAGGCGTGGGTGAGGTGCCGCAGCAGGACGACGAGAGACGACGAGTTCAACGGCAGAAAGGTAAGTTACTCATTCGTGCATGAATCCACGGCTGGCCGATGGTGGGCATCCGTCGTTTCCCTGTCTGTCAGCGGTGTCAGCGGTGGCGTGGAAGAAGAAAAACAATGTGGGTGAAAGACACCGTGGCTCGCTGCACCCGTGGCTCGCTGCAGCGAGCCATGGTGTGTACATATATATGTGATGGCTGTCATTCAGGTTGGCGATGAGGATGGCCAGGCCAAGGGTCTGGATCCACCATTCGTGCCTTGTATTTCTCGGGCCAGATGCGCCTCGAGAACCTTCAAGCAGTGGAGGTCAGGACACCCATCCACACTGACACGCACACTGCGTCAGCTGCATGTGTGGGAGTGTGTGTGTGTGGGGGGGGGGGGGGGGG